CAAAATCTTCCATTTTCTGCTTTCCTTTCTCAAGGCTTTTGAGTAGACGGCTATTCTTTCCTTTCAGATCTTCAACTCGACTTTCCTCAAAAATCTTCCATTTTTCTTTAATGTTCTGAATTCACCATCAACTTTTTTTTGTTTTCTCTCAACATTGCACATTGTGATGAATGAAAGTCAATGTCAACACCCAACATAGCTTTATCTCGTCTCATTTGCTCTAATTCTCTCGACCAACCTTCTCTTTCTGCTTCAAACTCAGCTCTCAGGATTTCAATCTCTGATGGAACCACCTTAATGTGATCTTCCATAGAGATATCCTCAATTTGGTCTGGTAGAGGGATATTTTCATTTTTCCTGACAGATCTCCATTCCTCATAATCAGGAGTTAACATTTCTTTTGCTGCTTTAGCTCGGATACAAAAAGTTGTTTTCCAAGCTGTAAAGGCCTCCATGATATTTCTTTTATAGTTTTTGCTGTGGAATGTGTACTCAGAAAAAATGTAATCCAGCAGTGACAGGTACAAATTGACGACCTTCATACTGTCTTATGACCAGAAGTGGTGCATATCCAATTCCTCCCCACAATCCGAGCAGCATTACCCAGTTGTAATCACCACATTTGTAAAAGAATTCCCTTTGGATTTGCCACGGGGCTCGCCAAACAATGTCATCGCTTTGCAGATTTCGAAAGGCATTAATCCATATCTTTCGCAATTTCTTTTGGCCATTCTTGCTCCAGAAATTCTTTCAATGGTGAGTAGTCCATATTAAAACGCCGGTATGAAACCTTTTCTGTCATCCAGAAATGGCTGCGAATCCAGACATATAACAATTGGATACACCCTGAGAATCGTCCACCTTCTAGCTTTCTACAAGCGTTTAACGATCTGGAAGTCTCTGCTAGAATTGCAGAGGCAGGATTAATCCTTTTTGGTAGTTGCTCAAACAAATCTACTACTGCAGCTTCAATATATCCCAATACTTTTGGGAAGATGACCATACCATACATACCCAGAGCAAAGAGATCGAATCGTACTTTAGTGTCTGGATGACTCTGAATAAGTTCTTTAATGTTAGTCCAAGCAATGCCTTCGTTTTCTCCCTTTTGTTTTGTACGGGATACCACCCATTCCTCTCGTACTCCGGAAATCTTTGCTAATTTAACTCGAAAAGGTTGAGTTTTAATTGACCTTGAATAAATTCGATTCTCCAAAACCCCTTCTGTATGTAGCAAAGTTGTGTACTCTTCAATAGTAGGAACCAAGTCCTCCTTATTGAGAGTGAAGCAATTGTACCCTGGATTCCAGAATTGAATTAGGGCTCGAAGAAAGTCATCATCAACTTCGACATAGAGCAAATATGGGATGTCTCCGTAAGTCTGATAAAACTGTAACTTTTTGTTTGAGTCCCAACTCTCCCAAATGCTTCGCAAATCTTGCATATCATTTCTTTTTAGCGAAACTGGAGCATAACTGGCTAACTCAGATACATAGTCATCCTGCAGACTATCTCCCCCTTGTCTTTGTAAATCCTCAGCCCACTGTCTTACTTCTGAGTTTAGAACTATTTGATTTGAACACTTTTTATCCATGGATGAAGGTTTTCCAATGAGACAATTAACACGAGGATCAATGCCTTTTATCCTGTATGATGCTATGCAAACAGAAGAAATATAAAGAACACAAAAAAATGAATTAGTTTACATAATAAAGGAAAAAAATAATTTAATAATAATGTCTACCTAAATATTTATATTTAAACATGCTTTCTTCATACTTTAAATAATTTAAATTCACATGCAATTTATTCAGTAAGAAAATAAATGAAAAAAAATTAAAAGGAAAAGTTAGAATTCATTTCTCCTGTGTGTACACCTATTTTGGACAAAATTTCGGCATGGCTTCAGATCGGAAGAGTTTCTAGGGTTTATTATATGCAGGGTTTTTTTAGTTCTAGGAGTAAAGGTACTCGAACTGTCCTTGTTGATGCCCCTTGGGCTATCAATCCTCAATCCTAGTCCATTACAGACTTAAACAGATCGAGTTCAATTCGAGGGGACACATTTCTCTATGCCTGACACGGAGAATAAATTCTCACGAAGATATAGAGCATATGAACCCCGAAAGTTACTTGCTAAGTCTGACACGGAGAATAAATTCTCACTAAGACGTCGCTTTCACTCCCACTTAAAAGGGACAAACTCAATTATAGAGCTTTATGTTATGCAATGTAAGTGTTGTGTGTGAGGAGAAATGTTCAAACCTCTGACAGAAAAATAAATAATGAAATAAAATACTTGTAAATAAAATGAAATATTAATAAAATAATATATATAAATACTATGAAAATAATAAGTATATATAAAAATTTTGAAAAGAAAGAATTATAAATTAAATATATGAATTTTTAATTTATAATTAATAGAGACAATTTATAATTGATTTTAAAAGCTTGACCACATTCCCAGTGGAGTCGCCAAGCTGTCGTAACCGGTTTTCGCCCAGGCACGAATTTTTTTATTTGGCGGAAAAAGTAATGTGAATAAATGGTTTTTAAAATAATTTGGGAGTCGCCATCGGCCTTTTGGGTCAGGTAGGTCGAATACCTAAAAATCATCATTTAAAAGAGTTTTTAAGAAAACATCGATTAAAAGATAAATTGATCTGCGTTTTAACCAAAAACTCGTTAAAAAGGGATTCGTGGTCGGTTACGTTTAGAGAATGATTAGCACCCCTACAACGCCCAAATTTGGTACTTATTAATTATAAATTGTCTCTAATAATAGAATTTTAAGAATTCAAATATATTTAATTTATAATTCTATTATTTCAAAATTATAATTATGAAAAATATATTAATTTATATATAAATAAAATATTTATTTATTTAGAAATATCAGAAAAGGACTTCTAGGTGCCTTAAGACAGCTCTTTTCTTCAATATTAAAAAATAAATAAATAATTAAAACAATTAATATATAATTTATAAAATAGGATATTTATTTAAAAATATCAGAAAATGGACATCCAGTTGTTTTAAGATTGCCCTTTCTTAATATAAATATTAAAATAGGATTAAAATAAGTTAAAAGTAATTAAATAAGATTTTAATAAATAAAATAAATATTATTTATTATATAAATATTTATGGCTAAATAATAATTAAAAGTAAACATATAAAATTAACATATAACTAAACAATGAACAAAATTAAAACTATATATTTAAAATAAATAAAACTTGTAAACAAATAAAAATTGAAATTAGTGACTAAATTATAACCTAATAGAATTAAATACCTAATTCATAATTAATTATTTAAAATTTCAATGGCTAAATATGTTATTCTACCCTTTATAATTTAGTGACTAGATTAAAAAAATATTAAATTCATATATCAAATTAAAAGAAATTAAAACATGTTATTCGGGGTTTAAAATATTAACTAATAAAGTTACAAGGACTAAATCGGTTATTTTAATTAAAACATATATTTTATGTTAATGACTAAATTATAAGTTAAATAAAATTAAGAGATCAAATTAAAACGATCATAAACTGATTTCAGTGACTATAATGGAAAATTACAAAGTTACTGGATTTCAGACAGGGTTTGTCCTTTAATTAATTACACACAGACCCCTCCCCAAAACGGCGTCGTTCAGGGAGGGGTATATAAGCCCCAAACCAGACGGCCTTTCGGCCAAAAATCAGTTTCTCCTCTCTCTCATTCTCTCTCTTTCTGAGAGAGTTTTTTTAACTCTCTCATCCCTCTCTAACTTCCCTCATCGGAGGGAAGCCGGTCACCGGCCGGCATCCTTGTGCCGCCGATAAACTCACCGCCGGCCACCGCTTCCGGTGGCCGGAAAAGCAAAAACCTCCCGAACGATAGATCCGATTGATCTACGTTCAACTTTGTCCTTAGTTTTCCTTAAAACGTCCCGTATTTGCCTAGATCTAAGAAAAATACCTTCGGTATTTTGTTTCTACGGCGGCCTATGAACTCCGGCGACGTCGCAGCTTCTTCGGTAAGGCTTCTCTTAATTTTTGCTTCGATCTTTTGATGGTTTTGGTTGTTGTGTTCTCTCTGTCTCTCCTTTTTTTTTTAGGTTCGGTTGATGGCTTTATAGCCATCACCGGCACTTGTCTCGGACCGGGTAAAAGAGTATAGTTTGGTGAGTCACCAAACTTCCAGTGGTGACTTACCGTTGGGGCGACATGTGTGCGGCTGGAGTGGCTCTTCTGGAAACTTTCGATGAGGCGTGGCACTGACGGCGGCGTGGCAACAGCTGAAGCGTCAACGTGGAGGCGATGGCTAAGCAGAGGCGGCGGCTGGCCTTCTGGAAGATTGAGGCGGCTGGGAGCTAGGGTTGATACAAACCCTAAACATTTAGGGTTATTGTTGGGTTACCGAATATGGGCCTCTGTATTTGGGTTGGGTCTGTAATAGTAAATAAATAAAATTATTTAATAATAATAATAATATAATAATTATAATTATAATTATAATAATAAAATATAAATAATATTCGAATGAAAAAAAAACGAGTATCTTCAGCATAGACCATCCAGTTAATTATGGATTTTAGAAGCCAATGTAACTGCTCTTGTTCCAACTGTTGATACACGGAACCAAGCTTATTTTTATTCCGTTGACCGTGTGGATCTAATCTTCTGTACCAAACGAGCTTGAATGCTCCAAGCATCCATTATTCATTTTTGGCAGTAAGAGTGCAAAGTCCACATTAATTCAAACCTAGTTTACAGTCCGTGAAGAAAAAAGGGCATAGGGCATCATTATCCCAGGTCATCCGAGTGTTGCTCCCGGAAGGCCTGAGATACATAAAGCAAACTTATCTTTTTTGTACCCAAATTTGGTTAAAATAACCAACATATCACCCGCTTCGGGGCTTTGAATTGTGTTTCTTATTCGTGAACTTTTGGAGGGCTTTAAATACAAGATAATTAAAAGGTTCATACACAACGATGTCTAAAAAGTGAGGTGAAAACTGAAAAGGAAATGATCCACAAACAGTTCATTAATCTTATTAATCAGAAATAGAGTAATGTTGGGCACACCCATATAGAAAACCTGATGAACTTGTTAAAAATTACATGAAAAGATCCACAGTTATTTGATTGATTTCTCAGAAAAAATCATAAAAAATGTTATAAGCTTGGGAAAATATACGTCAACCGGACCATCTCTTGTCCTAGTGATGCTCCTTCACCTCAAAAAGGCCATCAGGTCCTGAATACCATGATAAATAAAACGATAAATAGATTGAATCAACCAATATACACAAAAAACGAGCACAATAAACTTATCGCAACCACTTCCAATATTTATAATACTAAATTTCATACCAAACAATGCTTACTTGGTCAAGGATGACCAAGCCTACAAGGTTACAACAGCAACTAATGAGGTCGAGAAGGCTAAGAAACTCTCCAAATTACCAAAAGAAATAGCAATGTGCTTGGTATATTACTTGATGAATAATAATTATGGCGTTTTTTACAGTTCATAAGCAATATGATTGCTCAAATCTCCAACCATCAAGTGACTGTGACGGTAATTAAAATCTCTATCATCTTTTAAAAAAGAAAAATAAAACAATTTATATATTAGTTTTCATTAAGAACACAATAAAAAACACCAATATCTTGATTATAAGATCCTTAGGTTGGTTGACAAGATAAAATTAGAGACCTGCTAAACTTAATGTGATAACCATAAAATGGTTGAATGAAAGAGAGTTTATACCATGTCTTCATTGAATCTAAGTCTTAGCAAGGCATACAGAGACATGACGAATGAATGTAAGATAGGATGACAAGGACTTTCACTTAAATTTTGGTATACATCAAAAGCTAGTGTTATAGTTTGTATAGTATAAACTAACATAAACAAGGGGGTAAATATTCAACATATAACACCATCTCCAAGGCATATTGGCATTCGGCATATATCAACAAAGAGTAAGTGAGTGAGAAAGCAATCAGAAGAAGAAAAGAAGCCATTTTCAATGGGTAGAACATGGAAAACTAGTAATTACCAATAACCAAACAAAGTAAAAACAAAGGCTAACCACGATTGGTCTGCGGATAGCAGGTATTCCCATGTAAATTACCTTATATAGTGCTTTGGATGCTTTAAAAAAGCAATTGTTTTGAACAAAATGAACAGGATTTACTACAAATAACCAAAGCAAATATAAGCCTATTTGTTATGCTTCTGAACAGACCCTAAATTAACTAAAATTGTCTAGAATTCCTTACATTCCTCAATTTTTAATCAATTGGGAGAGAAGGAAAAGAAACCCCAGAAAGGATATCAACTATAATGTCCATGGAATGACCCAATAGAGCCTGAATAGAAAAATCTAAATACAAAAAACAATATTCAAGTTGAACCAAAGAAATTGAAACCGGTAACAATAACTCAATAAGAACATACCCCAAGGGAACTCCTTGTTGCGAATGTGCAAATATGGGTACGCCTGCAAAGATTCACACATCATGACGCGTCCAAGAATCATAACTAATGACAAAAATATTCTCATTGTTACCTAATTCGTGATTCGCTTTAGTTCACGGAACTGGTACGGGATCACAATTCGTTAATTTTACCGTTTGCGATTTGTTGGGGTAGACTTCTTTAAAATGATCACAATTCGTGATGGTATTTTTTTGGTTCACTAATAATTTTTACCAAATTACCTATCAAAAAAATATGTCGACTCTACCACCGACGACCGACAAGATCGGCCCATCCACCGTCTTCGTTACCGCCCCTTCTCCTACTAAATTCTTACCCCTATATTTGTTTCTTTGTTTTTGTTGTGATGGCTTTTGTTTCCTTTGCTTCTTCTGTGGGGGTTTTTGTTTTCTTTGTTTTTGTTGTGGTGGGTTTCTGTTTTCTTTGGTTTGCTTTCATGGGGTTTATGCTTCCATTATTTTTGCTATGGGTTTTTGGTACACTAATTTCACCGATCCGGTACGTGAATGAACCGCGAATTAGGTAACACTGAATATTTCTTAAAAATACATATAAATAAATTAAACTGATTGAAAAAAAAAACTTACAGGAGGCTCTTCATGGTGGGGATGGCCTTTTGATAGATTATAAATGCCTAAAATAGTGCATGTAGCGATACCCAAATATGTTATCTTCTCCCATTTTGCCGTTTCATCTGAAAATAACAGGATAAATTCATATTACAAATAATTATATCTGAGATCTCTAAGCTGTTTGGATTTTTAACTTGAATTTTTAGGTTCAAGAATTCAACGTTAATCTGGATTGATTTTACTTATTCTATTTGTAACAGAGATTCGATTAAAATCAAAAGGTTAGACTAAACAAAAACCCCTAAAATATAAAAATGGAACAAATCAAATTTAAGAAATCGATAGACTAACAAATATAAATGATACCAATCAGATAAAAAAAGGAATTCTGAAGAGAAAAAAAAAGGAAATAGATAAAGAAAAGCTTTCATACAAGCATCGTCGTGCTGAGAAGAGGAAGAGAAGCCCCGCTTGGGAGAAGCAGTAGGGCGAGAGCAGCCGCGAAGGGCTGCTCGAACGAGACCAGATTTCACGCTCGCCATCGCCATTTTTATCTATTGTTCTCTGTTAAAATGTGACTTGAAAACCCTTGGTTTATGCTCTTAATTTATCTCGTCAGCGAGATTATATTATATCACAGGAGACGGGTTTCGCACGTGCGAAGTAAGAGCCTCGTGCCCCAACTTCTTTTAAGGGATGTTTGGACGGTGGAAAAGATGATCACCAAAAACAAATTTTTTTCCTCTCAAAATTTAATACCAATAGGGAGTAATAAAATATTTCTAACGGTAGAATTTTAAGATTTTTTAAGGGAAATATCAATCCCACCTATTGTTTAGATATTTGTTATTTTCTATCAATTTGGATTAAAATATCTTTAAAATAAAAGATTTATTTTAAAAATATCTTTCACTTTATTTCAGACTTTACGATATATTTACTTCCAAATTTTTTAAGATTTATTTTTTGAGACCACAGTTTTTTTTTAATCTTTTTTTGCTATCCAAACCAACTATATATTTTATTTATTCATTATCATCATTTTTAATCTACCCATTTATCTTTTAATTTTTATAAAAAAATATTATATAAAATTTATAAATTTGAATTTAATGAAAAATAAATAAATTGAAAGTAATACAAATGATATATTTTCTATGAATTTTTATATAAATATTTTCATACGAATATTCAGAATCCAACTTGTTAGAAAAATATCACAAGGACAATTTGCTAAAATATACATTTCAGTAATATTTTATTCTTTTAATCAAACAATGTAACATTACATTCTTGTCAAATAAACCAAACACAATAATGTAACATTCATAGTAATGTGTCAGGTAATATTACATTATGATAATCTTATTTCAGAAATAATGTTACATTCCATAAACCAAACGTCCCCTTAAAGTAAACTACATCAGTGTGTCATTGACTCATTAAAATATTATTTTTCTATTTTAATCATTAAACTTATTTTTTATAAAAATTTCATTAATATTAGGGTAAAGTATAATAATGGTCACTGAACTTTTCTGAAGCTTGCATTTAGGTCCCCAACTTTTAAAACTTACAATACAGTCCTCCAACATTTAGTCCGTTTGCAATATAGTCCCCGACGTAATCGGCCGTTTGACGCCGTTACACTGCTGTTAGAAAAAGATGAAGTGGTAGTCCTCCAACATTTAGTTTGTTTGCAATATGGTCATTAAACTTTTCATGCTCTTGCATTTAGGTCCCCCAACTTTTAAAACTTGCAACATAATCCTCAATTTCATTCTAAACCTTAAATTCCAAAATAATTCAATTATATTTTAAACCCTAAATTCTAACTACTTTAGTTTAGGGTTTAGAATGTAATTGAAGTATTTTGGAATTTGGGGTTTATAATGTAATTGAAGTGTTTTGGAATTTTGAATATGAATTTTCTATTTGACAGTGTTTACTTTAATAGAAATTTGAGGTTTGTTGCATACACATCCAACGGCTGCATCACATTTATTGCATGAACCGTTGAAGTAAAAGTAACAAGGTCAATTTGTCTTGTTCGTAGATGTCATACTTTGGTATGCCAATCCAATAGGTTTGGATGGAACTTGAGCATGGACATCCAACGGCTGTGAAAATAATAAAGAGTTTTAGTTCATAGGACTACAACATACAACCAAGTAATAACTAAAATAAAATAAAAATATCAATTAATAACTCATTCAAAAGGAGGACTTAATATTAAGGGAAAGAGGTTTGGTTATAGTCACTCTAAAAGCTAAGCGCCAATGGGTTGTTTAAGATATACATTAGATTCCAAATACAACATTATCAGTTGCAAATGCATTAATGGCCTACCTTTTTAACATATAATTGCTTATAATGCTCCATGTTTAATGTTCCTCAATAGCCAAACATGATGAGAATCTAAAGCAGATAGCAGAACTAAAATCATAGGACCCCATAATTCTTGTAAATTCATGGCATGTCAGTAATAAAAGACATTGTAAAACATAGAGGACACAACAACAAACATATATATGCCAGAAATGAAGGTGCAAATATGCAATGAACGGACAACATATCAAGTAGTTGCTCCAAATATACTACCCTGTCATGATGTCTTTCGAGTAGCGTGCATGCAGAATTGTCCTCTAAAGCTATAATTCAATACAGATTCAACTGTAAAATTTCCAAAACATGTAAAAATCCAATTCGTTCACGATATATCAGTCCCATAATCAACATGAACTTATTAAAAAGAATACAAGCTCACAGGACGTCGAAAACCTTAGGTCGGATCAATACAATTCCCAGTAAACTAGTACCAGTAGTCTCTCAGATTGAGCCTAGCGTTTTCACTATGTCGATACTTACAACCAATTCCCTGATTTAAAGAAAAACCAAACAAGATAAAAAAAATTTAGATTAGAATTTTTGCCTTCCCAAGGCCTAAATGAGAAGAGAGAAGCGAAAAAGGAAATTCGAGATCGAAAAGGAATTTGGGGTTTAGAATAAAATTGAGGACTTTGTTGTAAGTTTTAAAAGTTGGGGACCTAAATACAAGCGCCTGAAAAGTTCAGTAACCATATTGCAAATGTACTAAAGGCAATGTAACGGCGTCAGACGGCCGGTTACGTCGGGGACCATATTGCAAACGGAATAAATGTTGGTGGATTGTCTTGCAAGTTTTAAAAGTTGGGGGACCTAAATGCAAGTGTCATAAAAGTTCAGTGACCATTACTATACTTTACCCTTAATATTATTATTATCTTTTATTTTGATTACCTAGTGTTAAATATTTAAAAATAATATTAATTTATTTTAATATTATTTTCTCTCATTTAATTATTATCGGCATATTAATTTTATTCAAAAAATTAAATAATAACATATATTAGCACATGATCTAAAATAAATCCAAAGAAAATAAAATAACGTTTGGAGTGAATAGAATCAAACTAAAACCCCCTTGAATGGAGTTTACTTGTCTAGCATCCAAACTGAGTTTGAAAATTGAAACTGGTTATAATTTCACTAAATATTTTAGTTTGAATAGGATTTTTGAATCTACGTTAAAAATGATTTTTATTTAAATAAATATTTACACCCATTTTAAAATTTATAGTTTCACACCTTTTAATTCAATGAGGGGAATTCTCTGAAATCCTCCTCCTTTGGAATCTCTTCCTTACACCGGCCCATGTTTCTACGCTTGGGGAAGGGATTTCTATGGTCATCAAATCCACTCTCGTGGAGATAGGATGCAAGGAATGTGCAAAAGGGATACAAACGACGGATATCGAGATTTGGTATTTTCAATGGAATGATTTGAGTTCACAATTGGTCACCCATTTCTTTGCGCCGATCCTGGATTTCTGGTTATTTGTGCAATACACGGTGATGGGTTTCATTTACATTTCGATTTGTTATTTTATATTTTATTCATGAACATCGAATCTCCGATCAAAATGGGCGACCTATTTCACTAAAACGAAGCTGGAAGCATGGTTCTTGTTTCAATATTTAGTGATGAATTCCTATTTTTTTCACATATGGATGTCGACTACTGCCGATTTACATCCATTGGTCGCTATGTTTGGGTCCAAAGAATTTAATCACTCTGGGTTTTTCTTCTAATTCAAACAGGGCATACTTTAAAATTATTGAGGATCAATTTACGCTGATGGAGGTACATTCGAATGTCGATTGGAGTTGAAGCCAGACGATCAAAGTTCTTTGCTAGAGCTCTCAGCGATTGCATTAATCACAACTGCTTGGGTTTTAGTGATGGAGGACCGTCAGCGATTGAACATGGGTTTAAAGGTAAGACGTCTTCCGTGTTAATAAAGACTCTGCGTATTCATATATATGACCTTGCGTGCAATTCTTTGTACGCCTAGTATTCTACTGGGGGATTTGGATTGTTAGTTCCCAAACGTATTGCTTTGCATATACTGTTGATTAATCTTGGAACCCTTGTTCGATTCCACTATGACCGGATTATCCATATGAAATGCGTTTATTTTTTTTGGGTAATTCACAAACATTCAACATTTCTTTATTGCATGGCAAAAATCCCAAGATCTGGTCCCTGTTAATTGAATGGTTACATGTTAGAATACGCCAATGGAAAGAATGGTTGCTCAGATTAGTCTCTGCATTATTGGCAAAAGGGTAGGTTGGCAAGATAAATAGATTTTCAATGTATTGCTCATTACGTTCATTGGGCCATCTGGTACCCCAGCATGGATAGGGTACGATCAGTGTGTTCAGCACAAGGATAAAGATGATTCGGACTCTCATAGTTTTCTAATGAATGACTTGCTACCAGGTATGTGCAATTGTCGAAATTGTCACCTGAACATCTGAGTTCATGATCGAAATTATCACCCTTAATGAGGTGTATAGTACAGATCGTACGGATGTAAACCTAGAGTTTGTCCATTGAAATATGAACGCTTACCAATTTTTTGTTTTAGATGTGGAATAATAGGGCATGTAACTGTGACATGTACCAAACAAATTGATGGCCCGAAAGACAAACTGAACTAAAGGGATTGGTTGAAAGTGGTGACACAACAACCAAGAATTCAACCTAGAACGAGACAATTTATTTTGTGGACTCCAATGGCTCACAGCTAATGCTACTATATGGGAATCCATGAAAACTGAAAATGCCGTGGGTACTCCCCTAAGGACCCTCTACTAGGAACTACTAGTAAGAAGGAGACGGTAGTCATGTTTACTCTTTGAATCATGTGGATGTTATTTTGACCTTTGCAAATGACCGTTTCCATCTTATCGGTGTCTATGGTCACCATAATGCAAAATAAAAACATATACTTTTGGCGGTTAATTGATTCATCAAACAATCGTCAAATCTACCATGGTTATTAGGTGGGGACTTCAACGAAATAATATCAGATTCTGAAAAAGTAGGGGGTCGACGTAAAACGAAGATTCAACTTTTGAATTCCGAGCAGTCCTTTATCGAAATGAGTTATCCAACTGTCGATCATCTCGAGGATGGTTTACATGGTTTAAGAGTATTAATCAGGTTTCAATGATAGTTGTACGCTTGGATAGATACATAGCATCGGCA